CAAGCCAATGCTAACTAGCTTTAGCGCAATGACTGGAAGTAATAGCACTAACACTAGTTAGCAATTGCGCTAGCGCTAGTTAGCAACGTCCTTCAAACTGCACACAGAGTCATACAAATGCTATCCAACAAGTTCATCTGACTCTGAGGAAGTAGAAAAAGGGCCTCATTGCCAAAATCCCGAAGTATCCCTTTAAGAATGCAGCATAACTATTGATCAAGTGGACTTTGTCTTATGCAAAATTACTGTTAGATTTAAATTATGTACACGAACAATGTAAAATATTGTGATTAGTATAATCACATATTTTTGCCCTATTATGTGGTCTGAACGTAGTGAAAAATCAGTGCAGTCAGCGTATAACAGCTGCTAGAGTGTATTGATGTATTTTGGAACGCTAATGTAGAGTGTATCAACAAATTTAAATCAACATGGTAAGGCTTTCACTGATTGCAAATAAAGGAAAATAGTTCCTACATAATAGAGTGCTTGCTTTGTTATTTGTTATCAAACTGAATGCACTCAAGACACAAGCTCAATGCACTAAGACATAACATTGGGCAGATACTGTATGCGTTGGGGAGATGAATGAGTGAAATGAGCGGCTCACAGGAAATCCCCCTCAGTGGGTTGACGGAGGCTGAAGAAGGATGTGGGAGCAGAGCTGGGCTGGGAGGGAGAGGATGTGTGTGTGTGTGTGCGTGCATCCGTGCGGTGTGTGCATGCGTGTCTGTCTGCTCCAATCAGGCTCCTATTACTAGGGCTTATTCATTGAGCCAATGAGCAAGACATTTAAGCAGGGCTCAGAAAAGCAGGAGCTTATTCTTTTATTTTTTTAAACGACAACCCATCCCTTAACCCTTCATTTACAGACTATGGGATAGGAAGAATAGAGGAAGCATGGGTAAGGAAAAGCCTATGGGATTGCCATAATATACTGGATATTACATTTTTTTGTGTGGGTATGTAAACAATATGGATGTATATGGTCCACTGTTCGAACTGTATGTGTGACCGACCACCTCTATTCGGTCTTATGTTGCAACATTTGAAATGGTGTTTTTTACATTGGATAAAAGTAGAGACTCAGAGCTACAAAATGGTATATCATGCACTGCAGTTGAGTAACAATGGGAAAGTAATTATGCTTTGAAAGTTGATAAACTTGTAACCCCACTTTTGAGAAAATGTCCCTTGAATGTTTTGGTACACCTACTGGAGAGCACTTATTTTTCTACACCTATTCAGCGTCGTTCTCTTAAGCCTTAGCCCAACCCATCTCTTTAAGGATTCACGTGAGGCCATGTGCTAAAACAGAGTGAATAAGGTAATGTAGTAAACAAGATTTCAAGACTAAAAGTGGTGAAAGTAGTAGCCTACACTAAGGAAAAGGTCCAGGTAAAAATACACTATCTAGTCCTTGGCCTATATCCTAATCTGAATTTGGTGCAGGTCATGTTGTTCTTCACATTGCCATCTCTGGTAAACACACACAACATTAAATAAAATCTAAATGTATTTGTCACATGCACAGGATACAGAACGTGTAAACGGTACAGTGAAATGGTTACATAGTAGCAATATAAAAAATGGAAAGTATCCATAAAAAATATTGTATTCATATTTTATAATTATTAGATGATGCTTACCCAGACACACTTGTCTAAATTGATGGGTCATGTGAAAGAAATGCTATAACCCACTCCCCAGCCACATCTAGCTAAGTGGATGGGTCATGTAAACAAGTTCATGAAATACAATAGATGGCCGTAATCACCCCCAGACACACCTGGCTAACTTGATGGGTCATGCAATCATCTGGCGAAGTGGAGTCTTTTGTTTAGCTAGCTAAACAATGAAGCATGAACCCAACCCATACAGCCACCATGCATGAAATACTGTAGTATGCATCTGCAGGAAGCTAAAGCTAACCAACTAGGTTAAATGTTAACTAGCTAGCTAACATCAGGCTATAACTAACAATGCAAATGGTTTTCTGAGACACCAATAATATTGCTACACAGATCATACACGTAACGTTAGCTAGCGAGCCAGCTAAAGTTCGCTAGCTAGCTAACAGTAAGCTTTAACTTGCAATGAAAACGACTTTCTGACAAAATTAGAAACGTTTAGTATCTGAAAAGCTAACTTGTAGCGTTCTATCACTTGCAACTACGTAGATGATTTTAATTGGCTGATGCAGATTGAGACATAAAACATTTTTCAAGAGTTCGCAAGTATCACTTGCAACTACGTAGATGATTGTAATTGGCTGATGCAGATTTTGAGACATAAAATGTTTTTCAAGAGTTCGCAAGTATGAACCCTTGGTTTTCTGTTGATTGGTCTTAAATAAACAGAGTCCAGAGCCATCCTCATTCTCACATCCTCCTCCTCCCCCTCCTCCTCCTCCAAAGAACCCTGAGGATCAACGGAATACAACGCAAGAATGTTCCAAGAATGTTCCCAGAGTTCCATGGTTCTGCTATCTAATTTAACTTTCCTTGGGAGTGATTGGAGGAAGCTCCTGCTGTCCGATCTTGCCTGGATAGGAATGCATGCTATGCAAATTCATAATAATAACCTGGACTTATAGAGAATGAGAGTGTGTGTGTGTGTGCATGCACCTGCCTGCCTGTGTGTATGTTTCTGAGTGTGTGTTTGTGTGTGGTGCCCGCGTGTGTGTGTAGTGGCGAGGGGTGGCCTAAGACCAGGGCCTGTCACCAAGCACGTTCCCACATGGCTGCTGTAAACAACTTAAAGGTCCCACACAGTCATCCTATTTCCCTAGTAAAAGTAGCCTTTGAATGACCAAAACATCACCCATAATATTTGTACGCTATTAAAATGTTCCGGATTCAATACACTTGACCTTATCTCTCATCTCTAACTATCAGGAAGCCTGAAAGAACAGGCTGAGTGGGCGGGGAGCTTATATTTATGAGCTCACCTTAACTGACAGCTCTTTGAAACGCCATTGTGGTCATTGCCAGGTAACAAGGTAAACAATGGGCCACATGTCATTCTGAGCCTAAATTGCATGCCTCAACCCATTTTATCTGCAAAATGCTCTCATGGTCAACAGATCTGTTCGTGGACTGTTGGATATCAGACAAACATTTCTATTGTTTTGTAACTAATTACAGAATACAGTTCACTGATACACTTCTTCACCAGACTTAGTAAAGCCTGAATCACCTTAGAAGCTTAGACATAAGTGAATGTACACGAAAACTGCATACAATAAGTGTACCGGACAATTAGCATTAGCATTAGAAATTACAATATGTTTGTAATTGTGTGTATTGATCAGACATTTATTTGATATTTTACGATAGGCCAGCATATCCAAAATATTGATCAACATGAACACTCATGAGAAATAAAGGTGAGAAATAATTTGACATAAAAAAATGTTTTTTAGCAATAAGCCTAATATAGGTACCCGGCCACCCTAGTGTTCCCTTGACCCATTGATTCATACAATTTGTAACACTCATCTCCCGTCCGAATGTTTGAATAAAAAAACTATACAAAGTAACAATGTGATATCATACAGTATCACGTAAAAGGGAATTACTTTGGCTTTAGGAAATGCAACCAACTACAGAGACTGATGGGGAGGGGAGGGGAGCGGAGGGGGACCCATGTACCCCATTTCAATCAAGCAGGTGTCAGTCACCCACTTGGCTTCAGTCACCCCCAAGATTGAAGCAGGAGACATATCCAGCTATTTCCTCCTAGTCAGGCCTCTCATTCTGGGCAGACAGGGGTCCTGGGATGGACAGCTCGCACAGCTTCCACACATACGTCGCTGGAGCATTTTACTGTTGGTCTACACCTGATGTTTATGAAGCATGGGACAAATTAAATGTGTTTTGATTTTATCAAGGGTGACCTCGTTGAAGAGGAGATCCAGGAACCTGTCTACATAGCCTGTAACATTTTTGAAAAGGGAAATGTTTGTTAAATGGGTAGTGAATTTAATGTTATTTTATTTACTGTTCTGAGTTATGATGCTCTCAATTCATTGATGTAGTGATCTACTCATTCTACAATGTGTTTTCTGGTGTTTTTGATGTATGCAATATTTTGTTATGCACTTTTTTGTGAATGTTTTCAATGTTTCTAATTGGAATTGTTGTGTGCCTGAAATTCTCAATTAATGCAGATTTGAAATGAATAACTATGACTTACAGTATGTTGGGTCTGTCTTCACAGGCTTCACAGCATATCACCCCTTCTTTGCCTTGGGAAAGATGATATTGTATCACATAATTCCTGCTGCAGTTGCCTGGGAGCTGTATGTCGATTTTTCTAAAATGTCTATCATTACAGCTTGATGATATTTGAATGACAAAAGGAGATGGAAAGTGAAATAATATTACCCCTCATCGTCATGATTAGTCCCAATGACACAAGCCTCATCAACTGTAAAAAAATAAAATTAAAATAAATAAATTTAAAAACGACACAATGGAATGGCAAAATAGGATTTTCAGGGGTCAATTACAAATACTACACACAATCCCCATTTTGTGGACAACATCACTGGATAAGAGCGTATGCTAAATGCTAAAATGTAAAATGTGTCAGCTATGTACTGGCAGTTCTAAGACTCAATGTAGGGGGCTTAGGGATGAAGGAACAAAAACGATATAGTGACTATCAGGTGTGTTACAGAAAATATAGAGTTCACAAGTCAAAGCAGTCACAGCCAAAGTTGCATTATCTAACGTTAGCCCCCTGGTCCCACCCAAAATGTTGGCTACCGTATCAAACTCTGATACTTACATTATGGTCATTGCTTGCAAGATCCACTGTCAATGACGCATCCGTCTTCAGGATTAGTTTCCTGGCAAGACCCATCGAATGTTCTCCCCAATTGATAAAGCAACTTCACTCGAAATGTGCACTGCACACGCGTGACATGATCATAATTTTCAGTCAGCCCTTCCACAGAAAGCTAGCTACGAAATGAAAAGCAACCCTTGCTGTCTTCATTCTTTGGAAAATAGCGTAAGGTTAATTTTACACTATGGCATCCAGTCACGACACAGTGTGCTTTTGCCAGCATGCTGGTATGTAGCTTGCTAACTAACAGTCATACCACAGATGAAAGGTTACCAGTATCTTTGGTCGTACCTTCTGCTTGAGCTAGCTTATAGGTTTGTAAACAAAGCCAAAGCAGGGTGTAGGGGCACGTGATGACGGTTTGAAGGTAGTACATATTTAAATTAGTTCAGGTAAGATGCTACCATTGGCGTATTGCATTTCCGGCTTTATGTGATGTTGCATAAAGCCGGAAGGAAATCCTTGATAATGCCTGCCTCCTAAATCCAAGTCTTTGACACTGGGGGAGGGGACCAGCAACTTTCTGATCAAACTTTATCAATGTACAGTACCAGCTACAGTAATTTTTCATATTTGGGTCACCCTATATAAATATCATCCAATTTAATGTTTTCTTAGCCTCCCTCATCGGTCTGCACTGCTCTGTCCCTCACCACAACGTGCCCGCAGCACGAGTCCCCTCTCCACAACATATTTTGTTTCATTTCCTTTGAGATGTTTTCTCTACAGCCGTGGCGGTGGGCACTGAATGGGTGAATATTATATCATATATGTCACTGTCTGTATCAGTGCCAACTGTCTGGAGATGGAATTTATGGGACCACTTAGATTCACTTCCAGATATGAATGAAAAAGCTTCTCAGACATGTTTCAGCAGTTGGTAAATAAAATACATTTCCATCTGACTGGAAGTGTGCTGAGACTTTCTCCAGTTTTATATTTTGCCTCCAGCACCTTCACTATTCCGTTTTGGGTGTGGGTAGATTATGGTTTGTGCCTATTATGGCTTGTGAAATTGAATATGGCACCAAAATGTATATTAATTTACCATTATATTTTATCATGTGTCTTATCACATATTGAGGGTTGTTTTAATTGTTGATTATATTATCAAATTAATAGGCTTACTATCGTTTTTTCATTAAAACTGCTGGCCTGCTGTGTCTTGGATATTCGTTTGGAAAGGGATCAATAAAATATGTTTACAAAATATATATATATATATATATATACCTACCAATGGGTAACGCTAGGAAGAACGGCAGCCAACAAAGCGTAAACATGCCAACCACGACTCCCAACGTTTTAGCTGCTTTCTTCTCCCGGGAGAATTTCAGAAGTTTCACTGTCAGGGAGCTCCTTGCCTGGTTTGCACGGCCCTTCCCAGTGCTGCTGCTGTCATCCTGTACCTGAGATCCCTTGTGGATCCTGAGCGTGAGCTCACTCGTGTTCATCCTCTCCCTCATCACCCCGGCCTCCAAGTTCTTGGTGGTCCGTTTGGCGACTACATAAACCCTAAAATACATGGACAAGATAACCACCAGCGGTATATAGAAGGAACCGAGGGAGGAAAACAGTGCGTAAAACGGTTCCTCGGTGATGAGACACACCGTGTTGTCCGGCGACGGAGGCTGCTTCCACCCGAGGAGGGGTCCAATAGAGATGACCACCGAGAGCACCCAAACCCCAAGCATGGCCAGCAGTGCCCGCTTCTCGGTCACTATGCTCGGGTACTGCAGCGGGTGGCTCACCCCGATGTAACGGTCGATAGAAATTACGCACAGGCTCATGATGGACGCTGTGCAGCACAGAACATCCACAGCCGCCCAGATGTCACAGAAGATCCGGCCGAACACCCAGTAGTTAAGGATCTCCAGGGTGGCAGACACCGGCAGCACTGTGGTTCCCAGCAGCAGGTCAGCGATGGCCAGGTTTATAATGAAGTAGTTGGTCGGGGTCCGCAGGTGCCTATTGGTCACCACAGCCAGGATGACGAGGATGTTGCCCACAATGGCGAACACGATGAAAGCCCCCAGGACGAAGCCGAGCGGGATGGCATGGGTAAGGTCCACTTCACCAGGCGACTCTGACAACCACGGTGTCCCCACTGTCCCGTCATATTGTTCCAATAAGGAACCATTTCCCCATAAGTTTGCCGCATCGTCAGTGGTCAGATTCATTTTGACTAAAGAGGTTCTCCATAGCAGGTTTCTAATCACATGGAGCTGTAGCACACGAAAACGAGCAACACCATGTCAAAATACATTTACTCAGTTAGGCCAAGTGTTGTTAGGCTACATGATTATTGGAGAAGTTATCAAGGATTAAAATTCCATTTGCAAAAAGGTGCGTTTTCTTAACGTTCCACTCAATTATGAAACCAATTGGGTGAAATTGTATCATAACGAATTTTGTCACATCCGTCCACTTGCAGTGCAGTCTCGCTTTCTCGTTGTCTCTCTGTTTTCCCCCTAAACTGTATGCTTTAAAAGTACGGAGGGGGCGGGCAGAAGTACCCCTGTGTGCTCCTGTCAAACCTCACTGCTCGGCGCGCAATGCTGTATAGGCCACAGCTGCTCTCTCCTAAACACAGCTTGACTGTATAAATTGGCTGATATACGGGAAAACAAAAATACGTATATTACTCAATAGCTCAAGAATAACGTACTAGGAAAATCGTTCTGGCACCGCAGAAAACGCATGGATTTCTGTGTTGGTTTTGTGGTGAGGTTTATGCATGCAACGTTTCAGGGCTGCCCCCCACCCCTTTGGATAATGACCAAATGACTTGGTAAAAAATATATAGAGAGATGTTATATAGACAATAACCTCCTTATGTGACTGTATATTACTGTCTCTGCCAAGAGGTCTGGAGTTTCATGGCACAGGTGGTAGTGCATTTGCACCATAATTACAGGGTTGCTGGTTCAAGCTCTGCTCTGGATGTTCCCTCTCAGTATTAACACACACTTTTTAATTTCCTTTTGGGTGGGTAGGCTTAAATTCATTCACAAATTTGGCCCAATATGAGTAGAGGGTATAAAACAAAAGTAAGCTTTCACTCAAGGGTAAACCTAAAACCAAACAATTACCACTTTATGTCCATAATGGGCTTTAATAAGAGCAGATGCTGTTTTTTCAAACAATTGACCATGCATCTTATGTGTTGGACGACAGACCATTTTGTGAGGAATAGCTGTCTGATCTAAAAATGGTTTAGTACGGATTATTCCCTCAATATATGTATCTGCCAAGAAACCCCACAATATTCAGGTAATATTAACAATGTTGAGAAATAAATAATCTAAAAGTCTATCACTACATATCCTAAACTGGATTTTAGTGGTGGGCTTTAGCAGATTGAATATTTTGGGCTTTAAAAACAGTGAAGGTTTGTCTGCTTTAGAACACTGAGCGTTGCCAAGTGGAAAGCGCCTCAGGTGAGAACATGGGAGGAAAATGTCATATATTTCCTCCAAAGATTAACTTTTTAATAAGGGTTTAATAGAGCACTGCATGTGCCTCGTGATCTGTCATTTAGTTAAATGGAGTGGAGACATTGTCAAGAGTTGAAGAGGATCAATGGCTGAATTTGGCTGTGTTTGAACCCATAGAATACATGTATGCAATGCATAGATGTAAAAATAAATCCCATCAAGACTGACTGATATCCTTGCTCATCATTAACAGAAGCTGAATATATTTTTCAAACTGGTGGTGCAGTAGACTATAGGGTGGCATAATGCAAGTGATGGACTATCATGCATTTGCAGAAAAATAGATGTTCTTGTCCAATTTTTGCTGATCAGGCATTTCAATTATTGCTTTGGCACGGGCAGGATTTCTCTTGTAGGATAGTTATGCAGCCATACATAATAAACACTATCTATGTACTGCATCCTCCCTTCATACTGTCACTGCCCGAAACCAAACTACCGTGAGTGCATATAGAAAGAAAAGTCCTAAACTATGCAGCACACATTGGTGGATTGAGGTGTTTTTTATTTTGACAAAACTTATGGCTGATGCGTAGGCTTAGGGAAGGGAATTAAAAATAAAATTCATAATAATTCATTTTCTTTTCTGGAGAGTGTCCAGCAGGAGCGCTAAACCAGAGCTGCTGCGATGGGAAGAACAAGGGTTGGAGTTGATGCTTATTGACTAGTGTTGATGTAAAGTGAGGGAGCAAGTGCTCTGGGATACATTCCCCCTTTGAGTGCTAATTCACTAGTCATGTTAATGCTACACCACATTCATTCATATGTTCTGTGTGTTCCGGTCCAGCAAGGGCAACAAATCCATTTAAAAGGAAACAATGTTAACATGTAAGGGGCGACGAAACCCAAATAATGTTTAGTACACCATTAAGTGGATTCAGGGTGTCTGTCGAGCTTCACACTTACGGGGCTGAGCTGCGGCGCTTCCCCTTAAGTCAACAAAGTCTGAGGCATGTGATGCCAGTCTTTTACATTGAGATATCGTTCATTAAAGTCAATTTATGCTGGATCCGACAATGTGGTCCGGAGGCTCCGTACGGAGGTTGTGACGCAATTGTGGACCCTACGGAGGCTTGTGGTGGCCAAATCGACCTCCGTACAGCGATGCGGTGCACTTCCCAAATGTTGTAACAATGCGGAGGGCTCCGCATAGCTCTGTATAGCTCCGCATTGACATGATTGGTTGACTGTAGGTAGGGGGCGGAACATCCTGCAAAAACACAAACTAACTATGTTGAGGTAAAAATTGGAGTATAATGCTTGTATGGATGTCAACCCCAATACATGTTCATGTCATCCTCATCAATCAACTGCATTGCAGTTAAAAACTACTTTTGACTACCACCACCGATTTCTGTATGATAGCTATGCTACCAGCTTTTCCGAATTATGAGAGTTAGCATTAACTTTTTTTATATATATTTTTGTTGTTGTATTTTCTCCCCCTTTTTCTCCCCAATTTTGTGATATCCAATTATAATCTTGTATCATCGCTGCAACTCCCCAACAGGCTTGGGAGAGGCGAAGGTCGAGTCATGCGTCCTCTGAAACAAGGCCCGCCAAACCACGCTTCTTAACACCTGCCCACTTAACCCAGAAGCCAGCTGAACCAATGTGTCGGAGAAAACACTGTTTAACTGATGACCGAAGTCAGCCTGCAGGCTTCCGGCCCGCCACAAGGAGTCGCTAGAGCACGATGAGAAAGTAAAGCCCACCCTGCCAAACCCTCCCCTAACCTGTACGACGCTGGGCCAATTGTGTGCCGCCCTATGGGACTCCCGGTCATGGTCTGTAGTGACGCCTCAAGCACTGTGATGCAGTGCCTTAGACCACTGCGCACTTTTCCTAAACCTGATAAGGGACAACTTCTAAATGTTATTCAGCGAAAACAGCCAAATATATCCAAATCGGATTTTAGTAACCACATTGTGGGCATGTTATGAACGATCGCCATACAGAGCTCAATTTGGCCTCCGCAAGCCTCCGGACCGGAGCCTCTGGACCACATTTACGGATCTAGCATAAATTGTCTTTTAAACAATAGATGGGGTGGCCAAGCTGCATTACGGACCTTTTCATGCATATGTTTGCTATCCATAAACAAGGCACCAAGACTAATTGCTATGGCTGTCAGTCAGTCAGTCTGGAAACACTTTGAGCTGAACCAAAAACACAAGTACTTTAACGATCTGTTCTCTCATTACTGTTTGTTTTTTAGAGAACCACCCCTAGAGTAAGGGTGTTGATGTTTTCATCCAGATGATTGGCACATGCCAAAGGAAGCACATGTGGCTTATCCCACACGCAGCCCTAGTCCAGTCCAATATACGGGCGGCAGGTAGCTTAGTGGTTAAGAGTGTTGTGCCAGTAACCGAAAGGTCGCAGGTTCTAATCCCCGAGCTGACTAGGTAAAAAGTCTGTCGATGTGCCCTTGAGCAAGGCACTTAACCCTAATTGCTCATGTAAGTCGCTCTGGATAAGTGTATCTACTAAAATGGAAATGTAAAATGATTACATTTGTACCAGTCCGCCCTCCATTCAGAGTGGTCTTCAGATGTCTGATTCTGCATAGAGTCTGTCCCTGCCCATATATGGTTCATCTGTAGAAAAAGAACTAAGACCACTTTTTTTAGTTGCATGTGAGACTTATTTATATAATATGTTTTTGACACCACAGCAAAGCCAGTACTCACTCATAATCAATCAGGAGGCCAAAATATATTCTCTCTCTCTCTCTCTCTCTCTCTTTCGCTCTCTCTCTCGCTTTCTCTCTCGACAATTGCCTACTGCGCTATTTCCATTGAACTATCGTGTGTCGATGGAAACAGCTGGATGTAATGACGTCACCCCCAAAAAACCAAATTGCGACAGAAACCTGGGTCAATGGGAAAATGCCTAGTGTCACCCTATGTTTACATATTAGGCTATGGATTTCGTACAGAAAAATAATTTGTTTGCAAATGCAACTGAGGCCATGACATCACGTGCCCCGCGTACCTTCAAAATTATTCGGCAATCAACATTGATTCGATAAACACTGTTTCCATCAGGGGCGTCATGCACCCCAAAAATCTGAGGGGGCACAAAATACACGAGGATGGCTGGGGGGCTTATGCTTTTATTCTATGTCAAAAATATGTCTATTGTTCAGCATGTCTAAACATACCTCTTGAGCTGTGTGCATCCTCCTGACTGGTAGTTCTTTTTTTAATTGAACTAAATATGCTTCTCTGCATTGCTGCTAAAATCGGGGTCTTATTCAGTAAATGTAGTTATTGCTTGCTTTTCTGAAGTCTACCAACCTTGCCAGCAGGCATGCCAGCTAAGATAGTTAGACAAGCTAGCTAATCTAACTTGACTGATAGCCTGCAATGGCATCTTGGTAGCTAGTTATGAGGTTGGGAACCTATCTGAGCTAGCTAAAGCCAACTTCATAAAATTGCTAGGTGACTAGTAGTATTACAGAGAAACAACAAAAACATTTACTTAAAAAAATGTTTAAAGAAAATGTACAAAATATCAGGCAGATCTGAGGGGGCACTTGCCCCTGTGCCCCCAATGGGCATGACGACTCTGGTTTCCATCATCATTTGTAGCAATAAGGAAAGTTTGACAAAATAAAAATCCACCCCTGTCATACGGATACACATTTTGTCGATCTTTAGAAAATGTATCCTATACCT